GGGCAGCCGATGGGAGGGGGGGAGGGGGGCAGCAGCAGCAGCAGCAGTAGACAGAGCAGACGAGACGATGGGAGTTTGTTGTTGATGATTGTGTCATTAGTTTTCCGACAGCTTATGCGGCGGGTAGGTGCCGTACTTATGGAAGTATTCTGCTGACGACATGACGAAGTGAGCCTCTGTCGAGTAGTATGCCCAAAGTGCGCGAAAAGAACGGATTGTTTTTCATTTTCCACTGGCTGGACGTGTTGATCAGGGGGACCTAAACAGGTAGGTGTCTAGTGCACTTGTTGGCTTTCTAAGGGATGGAACCGTCACTCTATTACGAATAGCTGGTATGACAATACGTTGGTGTACGCCTGTTGCATTTGGTAAATAATTTAGCTCAACTTCTTGGTCCCCCCGCGTAGTCGTTCCTAACCTCTTTCATTCCACAATCCTCTGTTATGGGTGACATCCAGAACTCCATTGTCTGCTGATGACTGTTCTTTACCCCTTTCCTTGTTCATTTATAGTTCTGCGTTTACGTTTCTCGATTTTTATGCTGGTAAAATTTTATTGATAATGTGCATTGCAGGCCTTTCAGTTGTTACAGTGGTTCCAATGAAATTCAGAATGAAATGCAGAAATTGATTTATTTTTATTCAACTATGTTTCAGCTGTAAACATGGGATGCTCACCAGCTTGCAAACAGGGCACAGTGTTTAGCGTAGGTACATTGTTGCTCCTCGGTGGTGTCCTGGCAGGGCTGTTCTGGTCCGATGTTGCTGATTATATCTATAGAAGTGTAATTATTTTATGAATTCTTCATATTATGTTTCTTTATTGTTTTTTCTTACAAAAAAGTGATGTATCTTTATTTGTTTGTTCTAGCAATTATCCTTAAGTCCATCTTCTACTGGGTTTCGTATGTGGAGAGAAACGCCAATTCCTATGTACCTGCAAATCTACTTTTTCAACTGGACCAACCCTGATGAAGTAAAGGCTGGTAAAGCAAAGCCAATTGTTTATGAAGTTGGCCCCTACACCTATTTGTAAGTACCATATCAATTCTACATCAAAAGTTTACAACACTCTAATTTGATATGTATTTAATTACTTTCTTTATATTTAACTTTCAGAGAAAAACATACAAGAGTAAACATGACTTGGCACCCAGAAAATGATACTATTTCATTTCAACAAATCAGGGAGTGGCATTTTGATCCTTCAAAGTCATCTGGTTCACCAGATGATGTAATTCAATCTCTCAATGTGCTGGCTGCAGTATGTACCGTATTCATTGGTTTTATAAAGCAGTGTGCAATTATTTTGTGACTTAATCTTCAATTGTATCTTGACTTTTCTTTGTTGTAGACAATTGCTGAAAAAGTTAAAAACTTCAGGCCTATCGTCAAGAAAGTTGTAAATGTGTTGTTAAATGTTGAAGAACCATTTGCTGTGAAGAAAACTGTCAGAGAGCTGCTCTTTGATGGGTATAGTGACCCTATTCTAAATGTTGCCTCTGAACTGAAGAAAATAACGAACATATCAATTCCATTTGATAAATTTGGCTGGTTTTATGATGTAATAAGAAAACATGTTAATGAAGACGTTTATCTTTTTAATGCAAACTTAAATGTTCTAATCTGACTCATTGAATTTTTTTAATGATGTTTACAGAGAAATATGTCTTCCACCTATGACGGATCTTTTAATATGTTCACTGGTCAACAAAATATGAGTAACTTGGGGAATGTTCACTCTTGGAACTATGCCACCCATACTTCTTACTTTGATGGAAAATGTGGGGATGTCAAAGGAACAACTGGAGAACTTTTGCCTCCTCTAGTTGACAGTGAAAAGCTTTCCGTCTTTGCAACTGACTTATGCAGGTAAAAAGAAGAATCAATAAATTATTTTTGTAATAATTACAGCTTCTTTTTCCCTGTAGTAGTGGATCTTTATTGTTATTTGATTTCAGCACTGTTTCACTGTCAAGAAGTGAAGAATTAGTACAGAAGTATGGAATAGAAGGAGTCAAATTCCAAGGAGATGCTAGGGAATTTGACAATGGAACTCTTCACCCTGAATATAAATGTTATTCATATGAAGGGAAAACTATGCCTAGTGGTGTTAGGTACGAACCCTTTCCACTTGAATATTGACTGATCTTGGTCTTAAAATTTCAATCTTTCAATCTACCTATATGTACTTTTTCTTTCTTTCAGGGACATGTCAAAATGTCGATATGGTGCACCAGCTTATGTTTCTTTCCCTCATTTCCTTGACGCTGATCCCTGGTACACCAACTCTGTTGATGGCTTGCATCCTAATAGATCAATTCATGAATTTTTTGTCAATGCTGAGCCTGTATGTAATTGTATTTTGAAGTGGTTTGAACTTAAACTGTCTATCTAGGTTATTAAGAATGATTTCCTTTTTATCTTACAGAGCACTGGACTCCCCCTGGAAGTTAGAGCACAACTGCAAATCAATGTCCTCCTTCAACCAATAAAAGGGTTAACGTAAGTATCGTTTGCTCCATTTGTTACACGTCACTATTAAAGGTGTAATAAAATTATCTCACTTGCAGGATGTATGAGAAAGTCCCGAAAGTTCTCATGCCAATGTTCTACTTTCGCCAAACTGCTGAACTCACACCTGACCTAGGGTCACAAGTCAAGTTACTCCTCAATTTATCTAGAATTGGTACAATCACATTTTATGGGTTGGCTGGTATTGGAGGATTACTTCTTGCCATTGCTACTTTCATCACTATTCGTGGCCATTGGGGCGAGGATGATGATACTGTCGCGTTAATCAATTCCAAAAGGGAATCTAGTAATAAACCTGCAAGCAGCAATCCTACTGTATAAACAGAGACTAGCTAAGTATTCATGAAAGTTTATTCTTCTTCCTAATCAAAATATTTATGCTTCATGATGGGAAAGACTGCAATAGTATTTTCTTATAAGTAAAAAGTTCTCTTTGTTCTCATCCTCAGAAATCATTCCATGAATTGAGAGTTTATGTAGTAACCATATGAAATAACTCCCTAGTCTTATGACTTAGTTATGGGATTTTTCTTATCCCTCAAGTCAATGAATGGTTTATTGTATGATATGATCTTTAATAGTGTGTGAATGACCCTCAACAAAGAGACATAAAAAGTTGAGCATTAATCCTTAAATACTGTTTCTTTACGATTGCAACCTAAAACCTCTCATAGTTTGCCAACTCTTTAGAATGGCCTCTGCATTTATCAATATTCAAAGTAACATAGGAAACAGCAACAGCAATTCATATGTAAAAGATGATGTCTTACTTTGTGATAAATCAACTTACAATGATTTACAGTATGTAGATTATCAGGGTTTTCTTTTTCTATCTAAAGTATGCTGATAATTATGATTTTTTGACTGTAACGTTAATACAAGCTTAGGGGTCTTGGATGTGTGTTGTAATTTGCGCTCTCTTACTTGCGTAGCTTTCCATCACTCTCCCTCTCTTGGACTGACTAGTATTGATGCCATCCGTGACCTCTGTTCTGTCTTATATCACTCGATCGGAACCTCTTGTCACTTTGTATGTGTCAATGATTTGGTGGAGAGGTTTGCGCTTTGATCAATTGTACTGAATCTAGATTATTTTAATTTTTTGGTACTTCATGTACTTTATATGACACTTGCGTGTATCAGACTGTAATGTTAAACATTAATTTCTGTTGCCAATTTATTTGTGGACCTCAAAATGTATTTAAAATTGGTTTTAATGTGTTTTCAGGAACTGTACTTATTGCACCAAAATATGAAGTTGGGGGTCAATTTTATTTTTATTTGACAGAAGTATGTATCTATCTATCTTTATGATATTCCTGTAACTGTGATAGTATTATAATGTGTCTTTGCAACTATTCTTGCTGATGAAGAACAATTACATGGTTATCCATTAAGCCCTTCTCTCAGGAAATTTAAGGTTGTAGATAAGTTTTGAATTGTGTTTTTTTTTCCTTGTATGTCTTGTCTGGTGGTGTTAGTTTCGTCTTAGTTTGGCCTTTGAGTTTTTATTATTCTCTTTGCTCAAAGGGGTTACATTTGTTTGTAAGTGCCTGCACAAGTTTCTCAGATGCCATAAAGATGAAACGAGTAAGGAGGCTAAAACTAGTTGTTTGATTTCTTGTATTTAGGATGTATGTGTGAGGAAGCTCTCTGAAAATTTTAATAGAAACCATTCGACATGAATTGTCGGTAAGATCAGAGTCCTTTTCATGCAAAACTCTGTTCTGCTCTTTTATTTCTGCAATCTACATTGTAGGCTAAATAAGAATAATCTTACCAATAACTCATGTTTTATACTTTTCTTACTTTCTTTCTTACTTGGGACCATTTTTATGATCAATGGGAAACAATGTTTAAGCCATTAGTTCTCTTCAATTTTGGGGCTTCCTCATCAATTTGGGGGAGAAATGGGACATGACTCTAGGAAATCATATCTAGTCTAGTACTGGTTCTATTTGCAGTGCCTAGTGCTTTTTGAAGAGTTTCCATTCTATCATTGGTTTCGGTGATGAGCCAAAGGCGAAACATGTTAAGAACAATGATTAATTTGTTATATCATATTTTGAGCTTATAATTTTTTTTTCTTGTTTTTAATTTTACTCCATCAAAATTTGTCCTTTGTGACGTAGAGTGCTGTGTCAACATTTTCCATTTCAGTTTGACCATTTGAAGTGCCTTTGCTTGTAAGTACGTGTACATAAAATAGATTGCAACATTAGTGCTACATAGCAAGCTTAAAATAGGGATCACTTTTTTCATTGCTTTTTCACCATATTTTATGACCTTTGTATTTTAAAGAGTGCCAAACAGGGCTTCTGTAAATTTGTTACCTAAAATCAAAATTAGGAGTTATAGTCAATTACCAGTATCTGCTTAACCACTTAAAATTTATTACAGCATTGAGTAAAGAGTCACATAAATAAAAATAAAAAAAAGACTTTGTTTTTAACAAAAATATTGAGATTTAGACTCCTCTCTTTATAACACAATATTTGTATTCTGTCAACCCATTCACATTGTTTGGTGTCTGTGATAAATTTTGAACCCTTTATAGGTAGCCATCATAGTCATGGGAAAAATTTCTTAATGTCTTCTTTGCTCACACTTCAGCACTTCAGTTTGTAAATTTAGTGTTTTATGTGAGTTTGTGACTGACACAAATTATTTTGAATGAAAAGTGTCTTGGCCTTTCCCTGAACTTGGTTCTGTCTTCAAATCTCAATATCATAGCTTGATATTCTTATAGAAATTTTTTTGTGGAACATCAATAAAGTGCCTCTGTTATTAATCAACATTTATATGTGCATAACAATCAAGTGCATTATCTTCATTGTGATATTAACTTTATATTGTATCTGGGTAGTATTTCACATACTAACCTGGAGGTAAGAACTGTTTTGTGAGGCCTTTTGAATTCAATTTGTTCCTGTGCAATGTTTTAAAAGTGAAAGAGAACTTGTTGAGGTGTCAAACTATAATGTTTAATCAAAATCAAGCTTTGTTTTCCTCTTCAATCGGTAAATGGACCTTCTTCCCACTATAAAAAAATGTAATCGATGTTGCAGTTTAGACATTGTGTATATTTAACAGTCACCCTACTATTTTGTTCACTTCTTCCATTTCTATTAATGTTGTGGTCAGATGGGTCCATTGGACCATTCTTGTTTTTCACACCCACCAAAAAAAATTAAATGCGTGTCATTACATATTATCTTTTAGGACCACACCTCTTTGTACAGTATGTATATTTAATCTTTACCGTAGGGGAATGATATGTTCACAGTAGTACATGGCAAATTCATCTTAAAACCTATCACAGAAATTTCTAATCACACTCTTTACACAGTCTTAAACAACTTTGTTTTAGTCTTGTTGATACACACTGTACTGTTAAATTGATTTCACCATGCGCAATTCCTGTCTTGTATTGAGCATTCATGCTCAATATTGTTCGAGCATGGGTCATGTTGTGACCGTTGGACTACTACAATGTGATTGTTATTGTGTAAACTTCGTAATAAATTTAATGGTAAAGTATTTGTTGCTGTATTTCACTTCCTCTGTCTCAGATTAAGTGATCATCCAGAAAATACTGCGTTATTCAGCGTCACGAAACTGCAGAGTTCAGGATAAGCATGCTCTCGTAAACGCCGTATGGGTAGGCTACATTTTCCCTGCAGTGCATGCAAGTGCTGCGGAGTGGCCTACCCTGAATCTCGCAGGCGCCAAGTTCCCGTACTTTGCCGAATTAATCTGAGGAAAACGAACATACTTTTTTGGATGATCCCCAGTTATTGGAGTGCACAGACTGCCATTACAGTAATAAGTCCAGTTCGTGCTAAAGCTGTAGGACATGGTGTGTTTTGTGTGGTGTCGTCCGGGGGGGTGAAAGTAACTAGCCAGAGCGCATTTGATGTTCGTATTATTTCATTTTATTTCTCTCTTTATAGCGACGCGTCGCTCGACTCGACTCGGATCACCTAGTAGTGGAGCTCGTCGTTGATGTCGGAGACGATCTGGTGCTGGCCAGACACGTACTTGGGCAGGTGGTCGAAGTCGTTGGCGACCTCGGCGTGCTGGTAGTAGTACTGCTGCTGCTGCTGGTGAGAGACGGTAGAGTCCTTGTGGTAGACGGCGACGTTCTTGAAGTACATGTTGGGCACGGTGAACTTGCCGTAGTTGTCGATCTGGCGGTCGAAGGGGAAGCCGAGGGGACGGTTGTCGACGACGGTCATAAGGCCGTTGCAAGAGACGACGTTCTGGCCCTGGTGGTGGACGATGTTGTCGTTGTGGTAGTAGTCGCCGTGCTGCTGCTGCTCCTCAGAACCGTAGGGGGTGACCATGACGAACAGGGTCAGGGGAAGGCCGGCCTTGTGGCCCATGGGGAGGACGAGGCGGTCGGGGAAGCCACAATGATGGTCGACATCGTGGACGTACACGTTGCCGCTCTCGGCCATCTTCTGCAGGCTCTTGAAGGACTCGATGTCACCGACGGTGGAGGTGAACTCGCGGGAATGGCGCTCGATCAGGTTCTCGCCCTGGGACACTGTGGGTAGAAAAGGAAATTTGTTAAGGGTGTGTTCCGCAAGACTGGTAATATGGTTCTTGGTAAAAGTAGCTGGTGTACTTACGTTCAACGGGGATGCGGTCAAGCTCGACGAACATGTGGCGGAGACGCTCAAGGTCGGCGGTGTCGTGGCCGTAGTAGACATCGGAAGCCTGGTCACCGTAGAAGTTGGAGTGGATGTAGTCGGTGTTGGGGCCGAGGAAGACGCGGAGGACACCCTGGGTCTTCTTGTCGCTCACAACCTTGACCTTGTAGGAGAAGGGCTTGTGGTTCAGACGCATGGTCTTGGCAACGAAGTGGATCTTCTCAGCCTCATCAGCAGAGTTGACGTCGACGGAGTGGGCAACATCAACGTTGAAGAGGTCGAAGTAGGTGACGAGCTTGCTGACGGCGACGTCCTTGACGGCCACACCGTTGAAGTTGAGCTCCTGGCGGTGGTAGTAAGGAAGGTTGTCCTTGTACTGCTTGAAGAGGCCGTTGATGTGCTTCTGGATGTAGTAGAAGGCGGGGTCGCGGAGGGCGGTCTCGTAGTGGCCGATGACGCCGGGGGCAACACCGTGCTCGTTGCTGGGGTCGACGATGAGGGCGACCAGGTTGTGGAGCATGGTGGTGTAGGAGCCGTAGTAGCGGGAGTTGACGGCGTCGTCGTTACCCTCGATGATGTTACCCAGGATGTTGATGCCGTGGATGTGGTTCTTGATGGAGATGACGTTGCCGTCCTTGCCAATAACGTAGCCGGAGTCGATGGCGTCCTTGATGCGCTTCTCGATCATCTTAACATCCTCGACGGTGTAGGACTTGAGGCTGGTCAGCTCGGAGTTCTCGGGGCGGGCGGGGAAGGCCTTGCCGCTGTGGTACTTAAGGTCGGGGTTGTAGCCGTACTGTACGAGGAAAAGAGAGACGAGTATGAGCGGTTGAGCTGGAGCACGGGTCCACCAGTGAACCAAACCTAAGTGATAAGCAGAGGGAAGCTTACCTCGATGGGCATGTTCCAGTCGAAGTCGTTCATCTCGGGCAGGTAGTTGGCCATACGGTGGAGGTTGTAGTGGGCCAGGATCTGCTGGTAGAAGTAGTAGAAGTTCTCTCCGCGGTTGTTGTTGATGTTCAGGCCGTACTTCTCGGCGTTGAGCCAGAAGGGGTTGTACAGGTGAGCGTAAGCGTGGTAGGCGTTGAGGCCGACGTCCTGGGTGAAGTAGCCGAGGAGGTCCTCGGGGTGGACGATCTCGTTACCGACGGTCCAGTTGGTCAGGGTCTCGTAGTTAACCTTGCCCTGCATCTTGGCGCTCTGGAACTCGGCGATGTCGCTACCGTGGAAGTACAGGTGGGGGTAGACCTCGTACATGGGGGGGAGGACCACTCCGTTGGTGTCGTCGCGGTGGATGGTGGCAACGCACAGGGCGTAGGTGAACTGGCCTTCGTTGACGTTGTCACGAGCCCAGGCGGCGGTCTTGATGAAGGTGTCGAAGTCCTTGGCGAAGTACAGCATGTCGAAAAGGGCGATGGCCTCCTTGAGCTGGGAGTCGTTGTACAGGTGGAAGATCTCGCCCTGGGGAAGCATACCCTGCTGGTGCATGGACATGAACTTCTTGACGACGTACTGGTTGGCGTACTGGTTGACGATCTGCTCGGGGTTCCAGTTCTTGCCGAGCTCCTTCAGCTCGGGGTACATCAGGGGCTGCTGGACGCGCACAAGCAGCTGCAGGATAAGCTTCTGCTTGATGGCGACATCCTTGTCCACTGCGGGAAAAGGCGGGTGAGGCGAGGCGGGTTAGTTTCATCCGAAGACAATAGGAAGCCGCAGAGGCAAAATGTATCAGACTCCTCAAAGTTTTGCCCAGACAGAGCCTTGGCTTGCTGGCGGTGGAGCTTACCGTGAGCGTTGATGTTCTGGTGGACGTGGACGGAGTTGAAGTTGGTGGGGATGGCGCAGGCCACAGCCACGAGGGCTGCCAAAGCGAAGAGGACCTTCATGTTCGTTGGACAACTGACCAAGATGTGGTACCGATGACAGCTCAGCCCGGCCCTTTTATACCACCAGCCGCCCGCCGGGTATCGCCCTGGAGGTGTCAGTGGTCACGGGTATCGCGATGACGATGACCCCCGGGACCCCGCGGCGGCAAGGAAGGGTGCAGGGCGGCGGGTACTCGCCCTGGCGACAAGACCGGGACCGGGGAGATGTCTCTCTCTGTCGCCCCCGGCAGCCCACAGCCCCGGCAGTGCGAGGGAGACAGAGGCATGTGGCGGGGGGTCGCTGCTGTTGCCGGGCTGGGGACCATGCCGATAAGGGAAAACCGCAGGGCCTAAAGGCGCATACAGCCCCGCGGCGTGTTCGGGCGTTCGGAAAGCCTGGCCCAACGATGATGCACGTGAGAACACCCCGCGTGCACCACGTGCACCCGTGAGTGCGTGCATATGTGCATGCATGCACGCGTCCGTGCGTGCGGGCGTGTAGTCGGCGTGCACTCAGCAATGCTATTGGATCGCTATTGACGTCACGCAGTCGTTCCGTCTCCGTCTGTGTCTCCCTGACCGTTGGGAAGCGGCTCAGGTGTGGGGCGGGGACAGTGGTAGTGGGGAAGAAAGTGTATTCCATTCCTCTTGGCTTTGCCAAATGGTCATCCCACATCCCACGTCCTCTCGGTCAGCAGCAAAGTTGGCTGGAGTGGCTGGAGAGCAGGGGAGGAGGTTGGGAAGAAGAAAAGAGGGAAGGGGAAGTGACGGACCGCCTGGAAAACCGGGGAAAACCCCTCCCTCCCACGTATGAGGACGGGCCGCTGATTCAAGTGCCTGACGGCGGCCACGTCGTTTTTCAATAAAAGCTGATTGGGGAGGAAAAGTGGGAAGTGGTGTCGTTCGGAAGTGCGCGCCAGGCCTCTGGACAGCCCATGGACAGTTCGAGGACAGCTCATGGACAGGCCGTGGACAGGTGCGCGGTGTGGCGCGGGTTATGCATTGCGTTTTGGGTATAGGGCCCGATGGCTCGGTGGAATCAGAGAGGACGGGCGGGGCGTGGCGGGGCGTGG